GTCAGACTCCTTTTGAACGGAAGGAACCTAATACCATGGGCTGTGATTGGAAGTTCTTTTCCTAACGTTTTTTTTAGAATGTCCCAAAAATAAAAAGCATCACGACAATGAACAAAACAATGCTTTATAGTCTCAGGTTGGTTACAGAGTCTACAATTCACTGTCCATGGTACGTATATTGATTTTTCATTCAGCCACGTTTTAACTGGCAGCGTGGAAGTGTGCCGTTTAAAGAAAAATGTTTTCGCTGAAGGAGATATACACATTCTACGTACACGAAATAATACATCGTGACCAGACAGAAGCGAATATGGCTTTAGATAAACAGGTTCAGAAAAAAGATTATTCACAAGAGCAGCGGTTAAATTTGTTTTGTCAATAGTATACAAATACTCTAAGGTAAACCTGGCTTTCAAAAAACTGGCAGTATCAACAATTTCTTTTAGGAATCCCCGCAACGGCAATTCTTTAGCAACGCTTGTTGTGACATGAATAAAAGTAAGGTGGTAACATAGATGGTTACGAAGAACCGCTAATAGAAATGGGTGGCACACATCCTTGAGGTAGAAAAATCGCAACACCAACTGTCGCACGAACAAATGCACAAGGCCGAGGCCACCCTTTTCGAGTGGAAGAAAAAGATTGTCTCTTCTCATGGGTTCCCAGGAAGAGCTCCAAAGAAAGCAGGCAAATATCCTATGAAAGACTTGAATGTGTACCCGAGAGCAATGCAACACCTGCAGAAAAAAATAAGCTTCGATACAAGGAATATATTGCACGCTTTCGCTCTGGCAAAAATGGAAAGCTCCCGTCCGTGCCATGTTGCCACCTTTCGGCGGATCGTAGTTATCGCAGTGGTCCAGTGTGGGCCGCTGTTACGATAGTTATCTAGAGGCACACCAAGGTATTTCATAGGAGTCGCATTCCAATGAATATTTGCGAAGACCGAAGGAGTTGTAGCCAACATGCCTAGCCATAATCCACTACTTTTATCAAAATTTATGCTGGCGCCAGCGACTTCACAGAAACGTAAAATAGTGTTGACTGCTTCTTGAACGCTGGGTTTATCAGCGCAAAAGAAGGCAATGTCATCTGCATAAGCTAGAACTTTAACTTCCTCAGCATCATATCGGTAGCCTCTTATGCTGGACTTTAGAAGCGCACTTAAACATAATGGTTTCAGATACATTGCAAAAAGCAAAGGTGACAGCGGACATCCCTGACGTACAGATGAATTTAACTCTATTATATTGGAAAGTGTGCGATTTACATTTAGCCTAGTTGTGCACTTCTTATAACATAGTGAGACACCATTGTATAGTACATCACCCAACTGCAGGTGTCTTAGGAGCCGGAACAAAAAAGCATGCTGTACCTTATCAAATGATTTTGCAAGGTATATTTGAAGGAGGGCTACTTGGTCCATGCTACCATCTATACACTCAAGAACTGAACGTGCAATATGAATGTTTGTCTGTATAGAGCGACCACGAATTCCACATGTTTGGTGGTCACCTACACATTTAGTAATCACTGTCTGTAGCCGATTTGTCAACAATTTAGCAAATATTTTGCAGTCAACGTTACATAACGATGTAGGCCTGTATTCGTTAACTCCCTTTAATGCATTAGGATCAGCACTTTTTGGGATTAATGTTGTATGGCTCTGATAGAAAGAAGGAGGAAGTTCACCATGGTCATAAGCCTCTTTAAAAAGTTGCTCAAGGAAAGGTATCAGATGTTCCGGAAAAGCTATGTAAAATTCGCCACTAAGGCCATCTGGGCCAGGAGTTTTGTTTTTCTGCAACGTTGTTATTGCAAATCTAATTTCCTCTCTGGTTATTGACCCCTCTACAGGGAGTCTATCATCATCTTGTAACTGAGGCACAAGGGCAATGAAGTGGTTAGCTTCTTCCTCAAAATTCTCGTGAAGCTCAGCCGCGGTGAACAAACATTTGTAATAATCTTCAAATGCGGCTCTTATTTCACATGTCTCTGTGCAAAGGGAACCCCGCGACTCAATTTGCATATCTGTTTAGAAAGTGCATATCTCTTTTCATCCCCGAGAGATTTTTTAGTGGGTTCCTCTTCAGTGAAATGGGTAACACGGGAACGAATCTTAGCTCCTCTGTATAAATCTGTATCATGTTTTTGTATCTGTGCTCGAATCACATTTATCTCGTTTCCGTACAATCCTGGCTGTTGACTTTCAAAAGCATGGAGCTTATGACGTAATTCATAAAGATGGCGCTTTTCAGCTTTTTTTCTTTGCGCTATTTCGCATGAAATACTAATCGCCTGATACTTGACTCTTTTTTTTAATCTGTCCCATTGAGCGAAAATTGGTAGCTGTCGATACTGTGTTACCTCTTGTACTGATTCTTTTACTATTTTAACAAAACAATTTTCGCGCAACAACAGTGCGTTAAGCTTCCATAGGTCCCAGTTTAGAGGGGTTTTACGAAAAATTTTAGGACCCCAAGAAACAGTGACCAAGCAATGGTCTGTAAAAAATATGGGCTTTACAGCATTATGAATTTGAGACCATAAGCTCAGAGATACATTCTAACACTGAACCACGAAACAGTTCTTAGACAGGCTTCTTGTCAAGGAATGAATCTTGTTAATTTGAGTAATAAAGCGTTCTAGAACAGCCAAGGAACAACGAGGCGTCATACTGTGCGAATTGGGTAATGAGTCGTGGAAAGATTCAACGCATTACAAAAGCATGAGCCATGACTATTCATTTTCGTCAGTCACCGCCTCTAAAACTGCGCAAAATTCATTGCAGGTGACTATAGCGGGCACCACGCTTTTCAAAGGAATGATGAAGTATGACATGGTGAACGCTTTCGTACTACTCAAAAACTATGGCTGTTTATAACATAGTAGGTTGCCTGCAAGTATTATTGTAGCAGTTACCCCCAAAAATTTAAAAAAGGGCTCTAGAAAAGCTGCTCTTCCAGCTTTTGCTGCGACAGTGCTGCGCGTTTCGCACACGCCTGGTGTTTTTTTTTTTTGTCTATGCTTATGGGCTCCTGTCATATGTACTTCATAATGGATTGTTACATGAAATAGCGTACGCTGTTCAATGTATTGCACGAAGTGTTTAAGGGGGGTACCTGGCTTTCACAATACAAATACTAGTCTAACTTTAATAAACATAAACCCCACTTTTCTCAATAGACATGCACTCGGCATAGAAGTTATTCAGGAATGTCTGTCCCTGAACTCTACAAAGTTCCTCTCTAAATAATTAACAGCTTAACAGCCAGCGCATGCATCCGCTTCACTTGTGAAATAAGACTGCCTACCTCTGATCCGTTGTTCACATAGCATAAAACTGCTTTCCTTATGTAACCCGTCGTGGTGGTTTAGCAGTTGTAATGTTGTACCACTGAGCGGACGGTGTCCGTGGTGGCTGCAATTTCATGAAGGCGAAATGTTGGACTCGTATGTACTTAAACTTTGTCGCAAGTTAAAGGGGCCCCGAAGCACTTTCTCAAGTAACCATGAAACGAACTCTCTGAAAGAGCTTATTGTCTCACGAATGAAATGGCACAAGAATCTTAAATATCGGTCAAATGCTAGTGGAGTTACAAAGATTCGTCGCATGCTTCGATAGCATTCTCTCTTCTCTCGTCCCGACGAAAGAACTGGAAGCTAAGCAGGGAGGGATGGCAGCCGCAACGAAAAACGTCAGGCGCGCTTCGTGACCTTCAGAACTTTTTTTTTCTTCGAATGCGCGGATGTATCAGTGCGATCGTGCACGCACGCGTGGACAAGTCGTGGCCTCCCGCGGCCATCTCTGTAACGACCGAGCGCGCCTTGTTCAAATCAGGTAATGGATGATAGATGGGCTAACTACGAATCATTTTTGGGCTTCTGCCGTGATTTGTCAAGAGAAGAGAAAGCAATCTTCAGCTGACGTTGATAATTTTGTTTGTGAATTACAAGCCGCGTGCTGCGCTATATTATTTGGCTCGCGTGTTGTCGGGGGCTTCTACTAACGATCGGCAGCGCCTTCTGACGATGCTCAAAAAGTGTCGCACGGCCCCTTTAAATAACTCAAGATGGTAGGAATTTTCGAAGCCAAAGACAGGCTTGTGTGAACGCCTCTGACATGCGGTAGAGTTCTACACGCTGCAGTGAAATTACTGTCAGTCTCTTCCCCCATTTTTTTCTTTTCCCTCTCTTCCCTCTTTCTCGTCTTTATTGTCCCTTCCCTAATCCCCCAGTGTAGGGTAGCCAACCGGATGTCTTTCCGGTTAACCTCCCTGCCTTCTCCCTTTTGTTGCTTTCTCCTCCTCCTCTGCTACAGCCTCCTTTATAATCACATTGTGGTTTTGAGAGGTAAAACGCCAACAGTTGATTATTGTGGTCCGTATGTAATGGTACCGCATAATGAGCTTGTTTCTGTTGCTTCTTGCTCCGTGTGTGGCGCTGTGGTTTTGTCAGGCAGAGCTCACCTGCATTATACAAAAAAAAAACGGCGTGGAAACGATGAACAACACACAGAAAAAAGCACACTATCCGAGCTGAAATTCGACGACGGACTAAGCACACGCACACGTACCGTACAATACAGCAAAAAAAACGGAATGTTCTGATGAGCAATCTTCACGCGTCATTTTGATGAAGAAAGCTTCGGCGAGTTCCCGAGCTCTTTTATGTTTGTGCTGGATTGCGTGGTTTGTATGTCACGCAAAAGTTTTCACGGAATTCCTGCGCAGGCGCGGGGTTGGTTGTTTTTTATGTGTCCACCCTTGTTTGTTAACTTTCAGCTGTTATAACAGTGTTTATCTTGAACCCTTCTTCGCCGTGTTCTCCGCAGTTCTCGCGGTAGTTTTGAACTATGCATCAATTCCAGCTCGGCTACCTTTAATAGCTTACTTCATCTGTTTTTGGTACTTGTATCCGAGAATTCGTTGTGTGAAATGAGGAGCTGAAATCAATTGAAATATGGCAGCACGAGCTCACGGTTGATGGATGCCTCGCAGGAGCAGCAACAACTGCAGCTCCAGCAGCGGCGGAGCAGCCTCCTGTCGGGTCTGCCCACCTGGGGCTCCAGCAGCCTGGATCTGGGCTCGAGCGGCAGCAGCCTGCGGCCCATGGGACGCTCTTCGTCACTGCTTTTCCCGCGGCCGCTCCGGCTGCCACACGCCATGAGCCTCGACTACGTGCGCGCCGAGGACCGAGCCCTGTGTCTCAACCCCAGAGAGTTCCTCAAGTACAGGCCCGAGAAGGTGAGTAGGAAATTATATATATATATATATATATATACATATAGTGCAAAAAGTGATTTCTTTGCATATTTTTGCTTAGTCCGTCGCCTTGAGGAAGACAGTGGAAGACAGTGGTCCCGAATGACAAGACATCAGAACTGTTTTGCAATCACACTATCTCTCAAGTCTTCAAATGCCGTGACGATAGTTATAGCGCGAGAACAAAACGACGCTACAGAGACAAGAAGGACACCAAGGACATGAAGGACACGTGTCCTTCTTGTCTCTGTGTCATCGTTTTGTTCTCACGCTATAACTATCGTCATGCCATACCAAGTAGCCCAAGCTGCCACACTTCAAATGCCGTTCTTATTATTTTTCCCATCTTCGAGCAACGATCGAAATAGTTGGAGATGAGGGAGACGAATCGCTGGCCATTATCATTTTCCTGGGGCTTGAAAGTTCTGAACTTCTCCTGGAAACCCTCAGCGGTCAGTGGGTAACGCTGCAACAGCGCGGCCTTCATTTAGTTATAGTCGAGCACGTCAGCTGCTGGCATCCGACTGAAAACCACCAACGCTTCTCCCACAAGACACAAACTGAGCCCCGTTACCCAACCGCTGTTTTTGTCATCTCTGACCCCATCGTCATAATATCGCCATAATATATCACCATAATATATCGCCATAATATATCGCCATAATATATTGCCATATTATATCGCTAGCAATAAGCCGGATGCACTTTGTCATTAAGCAAATCTTACTTCCTCCATAGCTCGGAACAGGCTAGTATTACGGCTACTGGCGATGATTATCAACTCACCTCCTTGTAGCGTCACCTGCCATGACGTCATCTTTTGTAACTCAGTAACGTATGCTGTCGGGCTAGCTGCTGTATAGCTGTGTAAAACATCGCTGGCGCAAAAGTAAAAGAAGACGAAAGAAACGACACAGAAAAGCGCACTTTTCCGTGTCTCTTCTTTCGTCTTATTTTAAGTTTGTGGCAATGGTGCTTTACACCTTTGTAACTGTTCTACATCAGCATCCCCTCGCTTTGCGCCTTCTGCAGGAGAGCGAGTCGGTGCTGGCGGGGGCCTTCAGCGGGCTGCTGTGGCTCCACCTTCTCGGCGCCCGCGGACTCCGAGGACATGGGCCGCGAGACCTCTACTGCGTCATTGAGACGGACCGGGCGCACAAGGCCCGCACCGTCGTCCGCTCGGGAGACCACTCGTTCGACTGGGACGAGGTACGGTGCACAATGGACAGCATCAGTAATAATGATAAATAACGGTAATGATCAACAATAATTGGAATATTGGACTGATATAGTGAACAAAGACAGTGACGCTGTTACAACATTGAAGAGACCATAGTGTCTCTACAGCACATTTATACAACGTTATGCTGTTAGTATGCGAAGTTGAATCCGGCCCGAAACTTGCGGTGTTTGACGTAAGACCGTTCAGGAAATGTACTTAAAATTGTATTACACTGAAGCATGAAGGAGGGCTATAGCCGATGTACATAAGATAGTTTTTTATACAACCGTATTTAGGATGCCTTTATATATAGATTGTGTATGAAGTATTATTACTAGACAGTAACTAACATCAATGGATGGTTGGTAAATGGCCTAACCAATCTTACTATAGGTATTTTCATAGGGCGTGGTGATCGTGCTCTAAGTCACGCTCTCATCGTTCCAGAACGTTAGCTGGAGAGGCCTAGAGAGATAGCCGGCTTAAGACGTTTACACAGCCAGTATAATCGAATGATCAACGCAGTAAGTACGATCGCAAACAAAAAGAACAGAGCTTAAAGGAACAGCCCCATTTTGACAAACAATTAAGAATTACCAGGCACGTAAACTTCAAGTGGCGTACTCCACAATTTCTTTTTTATTATCCCTTTGCAGGTCTTCGAGCTGGACCTCGTGGACAACACGACGGTGTCGTTCCTGCTCTACAGCTGGGACCCTCAGTCCCGCCACAAGCTATGCTACAAGGGAACCGTGCACCTGCTGTCGGCGCTGCGCGAAGCGCCCGCGCACAGCCTCGCCCTGCGGCTGGAACCGCGGGGGGCCCTTTACCTGAAGATGCGCTATCGAGACCCGCGACACACCTTCCAGCGGACGCCCAACTACAGCGGCGGAGGCGTGTTCGGCGCGCCTCTGGACGCCCTGGTTGCCAGGGAGAAGGGCACCGTGCCGCTCATTGTGCAGCGATGCGTGCAACAGGTGCGCCCTGACAATTGCCGAGGCTGTTAATTTATCTAGTTGCGGGCACATAGTGCTTATGGAGACAAGTGGTTTTGCATGCGCACGATGTTGCGTTTATTTATGCTACCATGCTGCAGCCGCATCCAAAGAGAACATAAACGAACGCAGGGGCTTGTGTAACCCAGGCTGCTTTCCCGTAAATGAACTTTAGTGCTGACGACCCCTAGCCGTGGAGGAGGAGGAGGAAATGTTGAAGAAACGAAAGGACGCAACTTCTGCAGCCGCGTTCTCGCGTTACTTTGTGCCCCTACCCACTTTTTTGCTACCAAGTGGCGCCTTTAGGAAGAACGCAAAGGGATGCAAGCCTGTGCGTTCTCCTTGGGTGGCACTGGCAGTACAAGGGTGCACAAGAGCGTGCGTTCGCTGGCCGCTTGGCAATCCCGGAACTAAAACTCTGTACTGACGTGGAATTTTTTTGACATTGGGAGATTCAAAAGCAAAAGAAGAAAAAGCACCGGAATATTCAATCAACAGACGCAGAATTAGTTGCTATGATTGGCGTGCTCGATGTTCCTAATTACACAAGAATTAGAGATGGAGGAAGGGGGGGGGGGAATAGGCAGTTTTAGAATAGCGTACGCAAAGCTTTGTGCTAGCGTGTGTCCCCCCTGAGCACGCGTTTTAAGCTATCCTTTCGCGAGTCACCATTATGTGACGGAAATAGAAGGCGACTGTAACGATCGCTAACTTAGTTTGCGCTATTCTAAATATCCGGTGGGGCAGGGCTATGGTGCTCGGCTATGGAACCGAGAGTCCAGGTGGTCGCATTTTGATGGAGGCGAAATCGTATAGCGGCAAGTGTGCGACGTCAGTGTACGTTAAAGAACCCCAGATGGTCGAAATCACCGGACTCCTTCACTGCGGTGTTCCTCACAATGGTATCGGAATTTCAGGACGTCACAATATTATCATTATTATTAGCCATTCTAAAACTCCCTCATGTATCACCGCAGCTCTCCAACTCCTGCATTGCTCCATTTCGAAAGACAATAAGCTACGCAGTGGATGCAAAAATGAAAATGAAGTCATGACATGCCGCTAAAAATGGCTTGCCTTTAGCCACACGGGCATTTCCAGTCTAATGGTAGGATGTAAACCGTTTTTGAGGGGCAGCATCCACGGGTCGCCGGCCGCCATTTCCGTCAAAAAAGTATGCATGGCCATAACCCTGCACCTTATATCGCTGTCAGGCGGACACTTTTGATCGTGATTAAGCCCAATCCGCATTCTGCTCTATATACACTGCATGATCAGCTGCAGCTCCAAGGTCACATTTAGTCGCGGTTGCGCCATATCGATATTAGGAGGATCGCGACCTGCGCATTGCAGTGTGACTCCGTTACCGGGATCAAGACGTAAAACAGGTGTCTAAGTATGCATTTTAATTGTTTGTGCGTTCATGGTAACCACTCCTGCAATGTCTCAAACTTGAGACAGCAGTATCTGCAAATAAACTGCGCATGCGTCATATGGTAACCTCTTGCAGGCCCTCTTTGACTGACGGAAATAGCGGGTGGCTGTAAGAATCCAAACCTTATCCGACTTAGGCTGTACCAAGTATAGCAGTGACCAACATGGTATCGCCATCAAGGAGTCCGATCGGAATAGGCCCTGATTAGGATCAAAAATACACATGTGACGCCAGTATTAAACAATAATGGCACAGTTCGGATCCAGTAAACGTGTTGAGCCTACTTGACGGCTCCTTTAGAACGGTTAGGAGAAGTGGCTGCCCTCCACCCCAGCTTGCGCACACATCCATGGTTGCAATTTAGCTGTAAAGACGAGATAAGTGTGACAGCTACGTCACACATCTTTAGCCTTAATTCAGATGTGTTCTATTAAAGAAGAAACATTGAACTTCAGAGCTCGTCATCGGCCGCAGGTGGAGAACCGTGGCCTGGACATCGTGGGCATCTACCGCCTCTGCGGGTCCGCCGTTCGCAAGCGAATGCTACGCGAAGCAATCGAGCGAAGCTGCGCGGCCAGCGGACCCCACTGGAAAGTGGATCTCTCAGCTGAGCACGTGCCCGACATCAACGTAGTCACAAGTCAGTACAACTACTCCCCCCTCTCTCTCTGTCTCTCGCCTTTGCATGCGGCATCTGTAGCTCAACCAAGGCGTACACGACTTGCGAACGCACCAGATTAACTTGTTCTCGGCCTAGTCAGTGGCCTGCGTCGCCACGCTTTTGTTTCTCTTTTCTGAATGCTGTTTTGAAAATTTGCTACTGCAGCGCTAATTATGTTCTTTAGCTCTGAGAGCTAGTAAGTTTTACTGTCCTATTGGCTGTCCTGCGCTAAAAAAAAATGGTTCTTCGACTCCTCTTCGTGCGTCCTGACTTGTCACGTGTATGACTATTCTTAGGGAGCCACGTGAACTTTTTTGGCGAACATTACACTCTCCTGGGAGAGTTGAGCGATCCAAAAGGGAGTTAACGTGCTTCTTTAAGGAGAGTCATCTGTGTGTATGCCTGTCAACTAGTGCATGTATACGGGTGTGCATTCGCAGGTCTCCTGAAGGACTACCTTCGCGAGCTTCCCGAGCCGTTGTTCACCAAGGGGCTGTTCGACATGCTCGTAGACGGGCTGAGCGTTTGCCTGCCCGATGACCCCGATGGCAACGCCAAGCTCATGTTCAGCATACTCGACTGCCTGCCCAAGGTCAACAGGGTGAGCATCGGTCTCCTTTCATTAAAGCATGGCTCATTAGACTTCATTACCGATTTTGGTGACGCACCGGAAGTTGTAAAACGATGCTTACGAGATCAATATGTTCATGTACGAGCAAAAACGCACCGGTGGTCATCATGCCAAGCCTTGAAAGGCCAAACACTTCCCCTTTGCAGTTCAATGTGACTGAGCGGGGTGGTCTGGCACTCCTGATTCACCGACACCACAATTTCTTCGACACGCGGTCCTCAAAGCTGTTGCAATAATAGAGGTTTTTAGCTAGCTACAGAAACACGTTGCGGAAATAAACATGGCTCCTTTCCGTATGCGCCTACAATGTTCGCGCATGCGCACTCGTCAGCCGGTTCTGTATTGCCGCCTTTCCGTAACGTGTTTCCGTAGCTTGCGAAAAATCTTTAATATCCATGCCTTCTATGCTGCCGTCTTCTACTAAAACTCCAGCCGCTGCGGATTGATCAGTTTCAGTGCCAAACTGAAGAAAGCTAAGAAATATCTCGAATTCACGCGCAATTGACCACGGAACGTCGCTCTTCGGGGGTGCTGCTGTCAACCCTGTCAAATGCCGCTTTATTGTCGAATTGGTCGATGGCGGAATTTGAAGCCAATAGGAGAGGCCGTAGCAGCCCCCTGGCCGAATCAGAGTTTATCAATGGCCGAAGTTGACCGGAATAACACCATGAAATACAGACGCTCGCACAGCTTGTTACGTCACGACTTGCGAATGCTGCAGTACTGCAAGACTCTAAGGTCACTCGCGTGCTTATCGTATCGTTATACGACTATTTCATGTTGACTTTTCATTTAAAAGTTAGTTGCTCAACCGAATACTCTAAAATTTTCCCGGCTCATTCGTGAATGAACATGGACTGACCCACCCAACACGGATTATAATAGAAAATTGGGTGCCATGGCCACTTTATGCAATCAAAGTTAACCTGGCGTCCCCCGACGAATTCAATCGACATTTTTATTGCCACATGACTAAAAAACGTACATAAACAGCAAGAATGGTGGGACCAAGGCTGCGTATAGGCAGCTTGACTGGTCCCACCTTCCCGCACAATGGCAGCAGCAACATGACAAGAAATTTTACTTGTCGCAATATCAAGATAGGCACAGACCAATACAAACTGTTAAAAATAAACAAAAAACATTTAAAAACGCAGTGGCAAGGTTATCATTCATAACACAAACCGACGTAATGCACTTCTATAAGCATAACGTAAGCTTTCGTCGCATCACTTATATTTGCGATTCATGTTTGCAACAGCCTCCACAGACTAAACGTGTGGTGCACGTCTTATGCCGCTTCGCGCTCGCAGTGCACAGCCCTGTTTCTGCTGGACCACCTGAAGCTGGTGAGCAGTCGCAGCGACCGCAACAAGATGACGTCACGCGCCCTGGCCGAGTGCTTCGGCCCGGTGTGCGTGTGCCACGCCGAGACGGGGTTCCCCGTCTCCGACCTGCGTCGCCCCATCGAGGTCTTCGCCTACCTGCTCGACATCTGGCCGCTCAACAGGGGTCAGTATTGCGACGTCGAAAACTGGCCTTTAAAGGGCGATAAACTGGCGACTGTCGAAGAAAAAAAAAAGACGCATTTTCAAGTTTTAATCGTTTTTCATTGCTGGCTAATTATGGAAGATGGTTATTGAGTTTGGTTTTTGTCTGTGCAGCAGGAAAAAAAAACAGAATTCTGATGGTGGTGCTCATTCAGTGTCGAAAGCGTGTCTGAAGATGCTTTTGATTGGTTTGATTGATATGTGGGGTTTAGCGTCCCAAAACCACCATATGATTATGAGAGACGACGCCGTAGCGGAAGGTATCGGAAATTTCGTACACCTGGGGTTCTTTAACGTGCCCACACATCTGAGCACACGGACCTACATTTCCGCCTCCATTGGAAATGCAGCTGCCGTAGCCGGGATTTGATCCCGCGACCTGCGGGTCAGCAGCCGAGTATCCTAGCCACTAGACTACCACGGCGGGGCCTGAAGACGCTTTTCAAGACGCGGCTGCTAAGTGGGCAAGAAACCTAACACGAAGTTAGCCCCATGACGGCGACGCCAACGGCAAAAACTTGTCGAGAAGTCCATATAATTGTTATCGCAATAAAATTGTCGAGATGTCCATATACGTAATTGTTATTGCAATAAAATAGAACGTCACTCTTAACCTTGACTCAGACGCTTTGTAGTGACGCTCGCACCTCCGTCTTCGTCTGGCATGGTGCATTCCTACAGGTAACTTTGTGTTTAGTCAGACTGCCAAAGCGAATCACAGAGGTCGTGTAGAACGAAACCAGAGGTTGAAATCTGCTCCGCCAGGTGCCGCAACCATCCCCGCCGCTCACAAGAAAACCGCCTACTGTTTCGATGAAACTCGTTCAACTGATTTTCGTGAATTACCTTGATAATCATTTGATTGTTAGGTAAACTCATGCTCCGATATCATATGTAACATTTTAACTCTTAATTTCAACCAGAACAATCGATTTCTTGGCGGTATAATTTGTTTTGGTAATGATCGCAAAACTGCAAGTGTGACCTCGACCGGAAGTGCTTGGGAGACAAACAAAATTGTCGCTCGTTGTTCACACCAGTCATAAGCACGCAAACCATTACTACAATATATGGGGCTGATAAAACCGAAATCTCTTCTGTAGCGGTTACACGCGTTGCTATCACCATCTATGCTCACGTTTCCTGCTAAAACACGTCTTTCTTTCTCCTTTCCGCTCACATTCGCAGCCGCGTTCGTCGCCGCCAGCGGGAGCGACCTTCGCCCCTCCCTCGGCGCAAGCATCGCCGCGGGCAGCGGCCTGGGCGGAGGCTCGTCGCTTGGAGGCAGCACCTACTTGACCAGCTCGGTGTCGTCGTCCCCGCACAAGGGCGGCTCGCTGAGCGGCGGTGCCCCCAGCGGCCTCTACTCCACGGCCGGCATTTACACCAGCGGCGTGCACACGGCGGGTGGCACCAGCAGCTACACCAGCCGCACGAGCGAACTCGCGGGCGGCGGTGGCTTCACGAGCTCGACATTGGGCTCGAGCAACACGTACTCGAGTTCCGGCGGGATCGGCATCTCGGTGCCCATTACCACCGTGCCGGGCCTGTCGTCACTGGGCGCGTCCGACAAGCTGACCACCACCGTGACCGCGCCGTCTTCCTCGTCCCCGCCTCGAGACGTGACGGTTATCACCACCACCGCATCGTCTACCCTGACCAGAGAACGGCCCGAACCTCGCGAGCGATCCGAACACCGTGACCGGTCCGAGTACCGGGAACGAAGCGAGCACAGGGAGCATAACGACCTCAGAGAACGAGCCGAGCACAGAGAAAGGCCCGAACCACGGGAGCGCTCCATCTTGGGTGACGTCAGCGGCACGCTCGAGAGGGAGAGAGTGAGCGGGCACCATCTCCTCAACTCGACGAGGGACCGGGTTTGTGACGCCACGGGAGGTGCCAACCCGTCGGTGGGAAGAGCCGCGGCTTTCGGAGGAACCAATGGCATCGGGACTTCCTCCGGTATCGGTGTGAACGGCGCCGGCGGAAACGCCGGTGTGAACGGAACCAACGGAGGCGTCGGTCCGTCTATCTCCTCCATGGTCACGCAGGGCTCGGAGTCGAGGCCCGGAGAGGCGGCGGCGGCGCCCGACACCAAGCCGTGGCCTAGCCAGAGATCATCACTGCCAGAATCAGCCTGTTGATCCCGTGCCATTGTTTCGGTTTGAAAATCCCCCTTTGTTCTATACGTTGACTGCTTCTGTTTCTTCAGCCGCATCTCGTGCTTCAGCCCGTCGTGGTGTGCGGAGCACGTGACAAATACCGTTACACCGCGGGAGCGGACTCACGCCGGAGTAACGCTGCGATTACTCCCGCGAGCAGTTGGAGGCTGTTCAAGCTGCGTCGCTGTACCACTGTAATCAAGTTTCGCGCCTCTCCTCGGTGGTGTCGTCGTTGTGGCCTCCTCGTCGACTTGTGCGTCATGCCTCCTCCACCTTCCCCTCCCGCTGAGCGGGGCTGTCTTGATCCAGACTCCACATTACCGATGTTCGTTTGAGTGCTCGTTGGCCCCATCTGACGCGACGGTTGCGGTTGTTCGTTGACAGCAAACGGGCACCAGGCGACGGTGTTTCAGACGCCGTACTGATAAGAGTGAAAAAAAAAAAAATGATTTCCTTCTCTACCACGCCAGAGGGCGTCGTCGTTGCACCATACACACCACGCACCACCTGTCGGCAGCAAGTGGAAGCCTGACGAAACGGGCTATCGTATAGCCTATCTCGTCGTTTGCGATGCGTCAGCGCGCGGCGGTGCGCCGTGGGATTCTGGGAAATGAAATGACGTCGAAACGTTGAAACTACAAGTTTTAGCTTGGTGGTTATTCTCCCAAGCCATGCAGCTCCGTGACAGGGACGGGATATGGAATATCGCTTAGCATAAAATACAAATGAATACAGCTAAACCATAAAGTCCGGGAACAGCTCCCCTCGTAAAATGGCGTTGAGAGACAGAGCTCATCAGCCTCTTTCTTTAAATATTGCAAGATGAATTCCACGGCAGCTTTGGTTAAATTCTTGGTTTCACTTTTATCAGGTGGCTTGGCGCTCTGAACGAGGTTTATCTAACGGAAACGACTGTGGCTAATACTTTCGGACATGTTAACGTTATTTCATAGTTCTGTACTGAAATTCGCGACTAAAAAAAAGCTCTAAAAGGACTTTATTTAAAGGCAATAATACGACATAGCGAGGCCGCATACTCGGTAGGCTGTTTTACGCGCGTAATTATAGCTGCAGTTCGTGAAAGCTGGAGTCTATCACGTCCACAGCACTTGATGAAAGCACAGCCGCTGTCTGGTGGGAAAAGCGAGCAACCAGAGCCATTTTGGACATTATATGTTCCCATTTTAAAAAGGGCTCATCTCTGTTCTGCGGGCCGGTCAAAATTCAAAGGTAGTACAACGATGGCCCTTCCAAAACAGTAGCGCATCGACGACCGAAAAGGTTGCTTCATGGCATTCGCTGAACTTTAAAACCTCGGGGGAAAAAATGCGGAGAAAATAATATAAGACCGTCTCCGGTCTCCCCGTACGCATTTCTTAAGCATGAAAAACAGTTCCTCTGCAACTGTCAGGCTATTGCAGCGGTGTTCAAGGTAAACTTTAAAGTGCATAATTTGAAGAACATCTTTGAAGCATATTCGCTGAAACAAAATATATGGTGGTTTTGTAAACTCTACGTAAGAGATTTTAAAATGCGTAGTTAAAATGCCTGGAGCCGTCCATATCTACATGTAAATTCTCTTTGTTTAGTGTTTTTCATTTTGTTCTTTTATAATTGTTTTTACATATCGACTAGTCCTTAATCTTCCATCTTCACTCGGATTTCAGTAAAAAAAAAAACAGGCTCCCACAGCTGCAAAGGGCTCGCTCACACCTACGATTAGCCCTGCTCGTGCGACCAAGTTAGTCACAAATGGCCGCTTTGGTCGAAAAGCTACTGTCTCGCTTGCTTCTCGATGTTTCGGTCACGCGACTATACAGTAGCAAACCTGGGAACCAATCAGATGCGCAGTAACGAGGCATCATCTTATTTTACCGGGTAATGGCGATGTGATCCATATGCGAGAAAACATGAATGCTATGTGGCGGAGGGTATAATTTCGTGAAGGTGCGAGCATAGCGCGCATTGAGTCGCTTTTTAGTGGCTAATCGCGAATTGTCACGGGACTGTGGCATGTCGCATGTGCGAACGCACTTCAAGTGTTACGGGTCGCATTCGTCCCCGAAATCTGGGGTGCGTTTCGTTATCGTGATGAGCTGTTCCGTTTTTTCGGATCATCACAAACTTAATGCCTCGCTTGTTTGTTTGTCTTTTTTTCATTTTTTTGTAAGTTTACCTTTAGAAACGAGTGCTGACTTGTCCTCGTGACGTAAAAAGATTAAAGCACCGGCCAGAGAAGGCGCCGCTTAAGCTGGTTCCACAAGAGGAACCAAAATATGTGGATGAACAGCATGACATTGTTTAGCCGCAGCGAATGTCTTTTACATGCTTACCTGCTTCGCCTCAGCGAGTGGCGGGAGTGTTCATAACTGCACCACTTGACACTCCTCAATCATGTGAGCCATTTTTTAATCTACTAACACCGTGGTGGTACGATATTGTAACGTGCAAGGTGACATCATGGCACTTCCTTTTTTTCGTTTAGCGTCTTCGCAAGCTTATCGAGCATATTGGTAGATCCTAGCCTAGAAAGCTTTTTTTATTGTCAAAGCGTACTTCAATGACACTCATGAGCATAGACGTGCGCACCAGGGGTGGGGGCAGTCAAGGAGGCGGCGCCTCCCCTTAACCTAAGATGGGGCGCAAAGTCAGCCCCACACGTTCACATAACAGAGAGGGGCATGCTGTGACTCTTGGGAGGAGAAGATGCGAGGAACTTTCGCCCCTGCCCCTAAAGGGGAGCCCTGAGCATGACTGTGCTTCTAAGCCTAATTTTTTTTTAGTGTATCCTTTACCTCCAATGCCTTTTTTTTTTATTAGTCATGATGGTCGTTCCTAATGGTCGCAGCTTCACGCAACACCATGATAACACTGAAATGACCTTACTGTAGGGGGCTAAGCCAATGTCTGCTTTGACTAAAATACCGGGACGTGACAGACAGCAGCCAATGAATACCGCACGCGTTGTCTTCTGCAGCCGACGCGCACCCAATCTGATCAGCCAGTGACAGCGCCGAACGACTTTGGCCTGGAAGACTGAGCCACTGCCTAAATAATGAGCTTCATTTCATGCAAAAACAAAGGTGCCGCTGAAAGTTCCGGTTCGCTCTTGATTTCGTTTTACAAGAAGGACGCGTATGATTAATGAACTGGGGAGCCTTAAGTGTACGACGAAGACAGTACCGTACTAACGATGCCATAGCTTGAAAGAAGTAGACGAGATGGACCCTGTCGCCGGCAATAGTATGGGGGCAGCGGCTTTCTTCGCTACGTTAGCAACGCAGCCACCCTTGTCGCGTCGCGCTTGTAGTCGTTTTTCGGTCTCAAAGTTGCGGGAAAGTTTGTATGAGCCTCTGCTTCGCATTGCGTGTGAAAAGACGAGTGTTCAGTTCGAAGGACTCGGACGTTACTTTATCGCAGGTTTATAGGACAAACACGTATATTTTCCTTTCCCTCAACTCACCCGGTGGACGATTTCTGTATGAAACACGCACACGTTGAGTGGGCGCCGTGTTTGCGGATTTCTCTGTTTGTTTCAAGGGCGTAAAACGGTTGTGACATTTTATCTTGTGAATGACTGTCTCATGCCATGCACTGTAGCATGTTCAATCATCCTTTCGTTTTTTCTCGTGTGGTGTATGGTGCATGGTCTCGTTCGATCAACCACATAGAATCTCGACCTTGTGGCGTCTAAGTGTGAAGGATTGTTCTTGTCGACGCCGTTGCATCGCTTCGTCGTATGCAAGGCCGTGGGGTAAACGTTTAGGTCACGCCCTGTAGAAGTGATGCAGACGCCCGGCTCCCCATAATTGTTCGTGCGTCACGCCTCTTTCGTGACCGCGTTTTCATTCGCTTTTCTTTTTTTTTTCACAGCGAATGATTGCTTGTGTCTATCAAACAATAACCTCATGAAATTCGCTAATTAGAAACCACTGAAAAATAATCTTACATGACAACCCTGCTCTAAACGGAGAGCAGACGCCCGCGCTTGAAAAATATGTGCGCCTGCGAATGCTTGTAGCGAACATGGCAGCTATCGTTGACAAACTGTCAGGCACCACTCGCAACTTTGGTCAAGGCAGTCGTACATGCTTTCAGAATAGTTCACGCGAACTGCGGTTGCGTATGCGAACCTCTCTAGAAGTATAAGTGACGCTACAGTCGCTACACCACCGCAGGACATCATGGCTTCAAAATAGTATTTCTTGAGAAGCACTATATGCATACAATGGTTTGGTACGGTTACCTCCCGTTCGTCTGGCTTTCCGTGTTCTTCTAGTGTACTTTTTATAGGATGTAAAATTTGTTTCCATGGTTCTTCGCACCAAGAGACGCACTAATACTATGGCGGTGCTGCAATCGCTAGTGGTACATTGGTGGTAGTGAGAAGCCGATGAACAGTGTCCTAAGTTGCAGTTTTTTTTTTTTTAATATGGCATGCTCTGAACATAAGAGATGCTTTAAGGTTATTCCGCTAACTGTAGCACCCCCTCTTAATCAGAGAGTGCTTTCGGGGCGTGATCGGGAAGTACCCTCGCGTGGCCTGTTCAGAATCGGCCTCTGCAAACCGGTGCACGTCGCTCCTACGATTCACACGCAGGTCCAGGCGTCACGTACTGCTGAAGCTCACGAAGCCACTAGCGCCGTAGTTAAGCCCAATTTAAATTCCTGATTATGAAATTCGTCTACGCACATACCACAACCTCTTAGATCCGCAGCGTAATTGCGATCAGCGTAATCATGGAGTCCACGTGCACGCGCTGTTGATATTCGCCACTGTTGGGTGGGTGACACGAGTTTCATCCTTTTACTTTCGCTAGATCATTTTTTTAGAGTTCCTCGACCACCATGTACTCGATCAATGATTGAGTAGAGAGAACCTTGGAAAATTGGCATTTTTTACCTAACCTTTACGTCTCGTTTCCGACTTGTCCCTTCGAAAGGCTTCGTGAGACCCCGGGGAACGTAACCAAATGCTTTAT